CAAACAAAAAGAAAAAATGAAGAAAAAAAAAAAAAGATTTTGGTAAAAACACCTGGAGCCTACATCAACATCGTCTGCCAGCTTACATTATAATTACATCTGTTAAACCTATCATTTAGAACAGAGACCAAGGTTCAGCTACATGCAGCGCAGCACACTTTGAACGGGTACGGCAGACTGGACAGCCCTTCACACCGCAGACACTCGGCCTGGATACAACAACACACTGCAGGAAGGCACCAAATTCTGACCTGGCACAGAAATCTGGTGGAAATTAGTCTTCATTTGTAAGTCGTCTACATATGGAACTTCAGCCAAGAAACGGTAGTTTTTACCCAGATGTCTCTGCTGTACCCATTCTAAGTGTGAGGTGATGACGGTGTTCAAACAGCGTCCTGCTTTACTCTTCCTTGGTCCCTGGCAACACATGAAGAACACACCGCTTGTTCTGCTAACACTGTTTAAGTTCCCTGCATCTAAAAGGCCAATTCCTGTGGTCAACTAGCAGACCCATTACTACTGGATGCCTTTAGCTCAAGTGATTACCACACTCCAAATGGACTGCACGGAGAGGACTGAATGGCCGATGGCGATATTAACCTGTTCGACTTCCTCATTGAGAGAGAGCTGTGAGGAGTTTTAGCCTGACTGCTTGAATGAATGAGTCCTATCAGACCTACACAGTTTCTTTAGTGGTTCAGAGTGCGTCTATCTGGAACATGAAATAAATATATCTCGACTTGTCGTGTGTTTCGGGAGGAGGGAGGGTGTTGGCAAATTAAACTACTCTGTTTGCAATTCCTTGAGTAACATAGGGGTCAGGCGATGAGTGTGCTCGTCAAGGGGGGTAGGGGTGGGGGGGCAGGATGACCAGCAGTATGAGCAGCCTCCAATCAGTTGGCTGGGTGGGGCTTATATCTATAGAGGCTTTACAGTGGCGGAGGACAACTAAAAGGCTGGGCCTCTTAAAATTGATGAGGCCACAACACTGACTGAATTAAAATCAATCTATAAAAAGCTTGAGAGTGAATTCTACTTGGGTGTAAGCTTGGTATCTGGATCACCTTCTGCTGGGAGCCCACAGCGGCCTATTCGCAAGGTTAGGTTCATCGTCTGTCCGAACTCAGACCTCGGGTGAGGCTTATTCTTATTATTGCAGAGAATTATCAGAAACTTGGTGAGCGGTTTTCCTTCTTGTGGAGGACAATGCTGTCAACCAGCTTTAGTAGAGCAAGGGAAAGGGGTTTGGGGGGCAGGGGTGTGTGTGTGTGTGTGTGTGTGTGCGTGTGTATGTTCTTAAGGATGTGTGGATGTGTTGTATGTGTGAGTGCCCTTTAAAAAGGTAGGAGCCTCTCATAGCAGCACACATTTGCGTTTCTTCTTGGGCTCTGGGGGCTCCAATGCAGCCAATATCGCCTCATCAAACACATTCTTTAGGCCTTTCTGTGAACACAAACACACAAACACACGGGCTCAGTGAGGGGGCATCGCAAACAAGCACACACACAGGCACACAAAAAGGTCAACTAAAGAAAGGCTGAGCACGCGATCAGCTTGAACAGAGGCAGAATAACCAGGTGAAAACAGAAGAGTCACTGAACATCATGTATTGGGGTTTCATAAACACGATGCAAGACCTGCTGGGGACAAAAAAAAATTAAACAATAATGCAAATAAATGACAAACACCTTTTTGTTGTTTCAGTAATTTGTGAGAGACGGGTCAGGGATAAAGTGTCAACAACATATCACATGCATGTGTAAGTGGAGCTGAAATCAACCAAGAAAGTGGAGGAAAAACACAACTCAGTCCCTGATGCCCCAGCAACACACACACACACACACACACACACACACACAACACACACGGAGTGGCCTTTTTATTCCACACCTCCTGTGTTTCCCCCCTGGCTCTATTCTTCAGATTAATACTGATGACTAATACCCAGCAGGAACACATCCAGACCGACAGAAAATATACAAGTAACAAAACTTAACTGTGAATGTTTTTTCTCTCCTTTTGCCCCTGAGCAGAGCGGCTTTCACCATGAGCTCAGTCATGTGAAGTAACCAGAGCTGCTCCGACACAATGCTGCACTATGCAATAAACCAGTAAACCAGTAAGCCCCTCAGCCTGGCTCAACTCGCTGTTAAATTCTTCTCTGACAAAGCACTGGAAAAAGAAGGGAGCCACAGAGAAGAGAGCAAGTTCATCTGTCCTTTATTAATTTGTAACACAGGTCATTTCACACAATCATAGCTTTTATATTATCTGGACTTCCAACACAGCAGGATATGCACCAAAGCTGGTGGCGTCGTGTATAGAGAGCATTGGGCCAAATAAGTCAAACCATGTTATTTAGATTACAATTTAAAAGAAACTTGAAGCGTAGCTTGAAAATGAACCAAATCAATAGTATTATAGTACCAAAAAGGACAAGATATCATCTCGTGGTTATAATGACAAAATGGCCAAACACACTCTATCTGACATTAGCATTTAAACGTCCTACCGTGCATTCACAAAGTATTTAGAAACCCATTACTATTTTCACATTTTTAAGTTGCAGCCCTATGCTTCGATTGTTTAAAATGTTTTAAAATGAAAAGCTCAAATATCACACTGAAATATTTAGGTCCATAATTCAGTGTTAAATTGAAGCGCTTTTGGCAGCGATTACAGCCTCAAGCCTCTAGTACTTTGCAAAGATGTTGATTGGGATATAAATCCAGGCGTTCGCTGATGGGAAGGTGGACTTTCAGCTCAGTCTCCAGACCAGGTTTATTTTAAGGATATCTCCTTAAATATCTTTAAGGATATTTACTTTTTCACTTAACACCAATTCTGTAGGGGAAAAAAACAACTACACAATCTGATGCTGAGACCACCATGCTTCACCATTAGGATGGTTTTGGACCATTCTCTGTCCTTTGGGTGCTTTCATGTGTCTCTCAGTATGGAGAGGCTGATGTGTGACCACTCTACCATGAAGCCAAGATTGAGTGCAACAGTGATGCTTGTCCTGTACGTTTCTCTTTACTTGTCACAGGATCTCTGGAGCACATCCAGAGTGACCATCAGGTTCTTGGTCACCTCTCTTACCAAGACTATTATCTCTCAATCTCTAAATTTGTCTTAATCCTTTTTAATCCAAACCTCTTCAATTTAAGAGTGGGTGGAGGACACTGAGGCTCTTAGGAAATAACTATGAATGCAGCAGAAAGTGTTTTTGTAGTTTAACCCAGATCTGTGCCTTGACACAATCAACTTCATGGTTTGGCTTTTACTCGGATATGCTTCATCAGCAGTTAGGCCTTGTGTAGACAGTGAGAGTTTTTCAAAACCCTTAGTCAATCATTTATATTCATTCCTATTTAATGTATTTTCATTCAAGGTGTAGAAACATCTAAGGAAATAGAAGGTGTCTGACCTAAATTTCAAGTAATAGCAAAGCATCTGAATACTCCTATCAATGTGATATTTCAGTTTTGCTTTGTTATAGTGAATTAAATGTAAATTGATAAGGGGATGTTTTTTTTTTTTTAACATAAAGCTGCAACAGTGACGGGGTGTGAAATTTCTGAAAGCACCATATATGTAACAATAGTCATACTCTTACGCTCTGTTTAATCATCACATCAACAGTAGTACAAAAAATACATTAGCATTAGAAATGGAAGATCTGTTTAGTCTTTAGATTGTTTTCTATGTGAAGCCACTGCCCCTCGCTGTGGTCTGAACCCCCCCCACATTCACTACTACTCCAGGACAGAAGGGAGAGAAACTAAAACAATGGCTACATCCCAAATTACATCCTGCATCCTCTGTAAGATAAAGTTGTACTGCTGGCCAGTGGCCACATAAACGAAGTACCGGGCCAAAGAAGGAAAACTAAAAATGCTAGAAGATTTACAATTTAAATAAAGTGGACATAAACCACTCCAGAAATAAGACTTGAAGTTAATTACCACAGTAAACAAACTAAATGTCAGCAGTTAGAGGTTAGGCAACAAGTCACTGAAGTGAATAAAAAGGCAGTAGAGTGAATGAGTCCAGAACACAGATTAGTTGTAGTTAGTGGCGGGGATAAGACTAATATCAGTATGATGGACTGGTTAGATGTCTGAGATTGAGACTGGGTTTAAAAAGCAGCACATGTAAAGAGATAGAATGAGGAGAGGAGAAGAAAGGAGAGAGATGGGGGAAAGGAATGAGAGAATAAGAGCAGTCATAAGAGAAGTGGCAGAGTTTAAAATATACAGCATTTCCCTTTTCCCTGCGTCTCAGGTGGCTCAAGGGCAGCTAGGATAGCTTCGTCAAATACATTCTTCAGCCCTCGCTACGACAGGAGAAAGGAAGAGAACAACAGCACAGTTAGCGGAGAAAACACAGAAAGGGGTAGGTGGAAGAGAGGAGAAGAGGAACATGGCAGAAGGAGGAGCAAACACAGAGAGGTGTAAGAGATACATAACCACTGTGTGAAGGAGAAGCACAAAGATGAAGGCGTAAGTGCAATAGCGGGCTGAATGTGAGGTGTGGACCAAATGCTGAGATCCCAGACAGGAAACAGGAAATGACATCAGCAGCTATGCAACAGTAGTGCCAGGGGAGGGGTGGAGGAAGGAAGGAGCAGGGAGTTGGGGGGGGGGGCTCCATCAACACTATTGTTCTCTGTGTGAGTGAGTTAGTAAGGTGCAAATCATCTTATCATTTGAGTCGTGTTCCCATCATTCCCTACTTAGAGTCTCTATGCATCAACGCCATCAAGTATGCCATCAAGTACAAGAGTTAACCTATTAAAACCTGAGGCGCAGATTAAAGACACCCTCTAAAGTCTAAGCATTGTTGGAAAACATTCACCTAAAACCTATAAAGGGTTTTCCGAAGAGCTGACAGACTAAACATGTCTCTTACCAATTGAGTCTTGGTCAACAGTCTGTGTCTGAATCATCTTCATTGTAATTTTCATTGTTTTTATCATTGAAATTAATCTTACTTGTGTCACTTCAGCAGCCACTGTCTGAAACGCAACTTCAAAAAAACTTTTCAGAAAGGTAAGGGCTCTAACAAACAAATGAGGATCAGGGAATCACAATGTATTTCATAAGTCACTTGTCAAACGATGACATGGTGGAAGAGACACGTCTCATCTAGCCTCAATGGGTTAAATTAGTCCATTCAATTCAAGTTATAAGCACTAAGATACCACATTATGTGATTGTGAGCAAAATAATCTCGATTTTATAGTAATTCCTTTCACACACTAGACATTATAACTCTCATTAAAAACATTAAACTAAATGTTACATGCTACTGAAGACACTAGCAGTAGGCTTGTCTGCACATCCACTTTCCGATTAATCAAAGTTATCTCTTTAACTTCATCTAAAGCAGCACTTCACATTACAAGATATTTTACCTTCGAAAGAAAAAATGACATCATTTGTCATTGAGTTATTGATGTTTTAATATTATTTGTTGACCAGCACACATTCCACTCTGGTTGTGGGTGGCAGGCCCTCTGTACAGGGAAGGTATCTAAGTTATATGAATATGTAACATCGCTGAATTCACAACATAGAACATGCAAAATAAACCAACCACAGCGTGCACAGGCCAAGGGGATATGTGGACAGGTTCCTCTTTCCTCCACTTTCTTATTTGGTGTGAATGGAGTGTATGAGAATTGTGTATATGTACATAGTTACTGTGTATTACCTGTGTGAGGGCTGAGCACTCCACATATTTCACAGCCTTGAGGTCTCTCGCCAGCTTCTCAGCTGTCTCCGGGGTGATGGGCTTCTGCTTGTTCTTGGCCAGCTTCTCTATAGTTGAGGGGTCATCCCGCAAGTCAATCTGCGTCCCAACTAGGAGGAAGGGGGTCTTTGGACAGTGATGGGTGATCTCTGGAACCCACTGAATAAAAACACAACATGCACACATGCTTTTAACATCAGATTATCAGACCAACTGCTGCCCTTTTTCTGAGTTGTCCTCCAGATTATCTACCAGACCTTAATATCCATATTGGATATCATGTGTACTGGACAGAATAATTTAAGCAACTCAAAAAAAGTTAAAAGAATTATTTCTTCTCATTCAACAAACCTTATGAGCCTCTGATCGTGTCCAAGGCTTAGACTAAGGAGAACAATACACTTGCCGACCAGAATGCTTGCTGTTACGATAGTAACTGAATCAGTATTCAAATGCTGTGTTTGTTCTCGTTGTATATAACCACAAAAATCTCAATAGCCCCTGGAATAAAATGAAAAACCTTTCCATTTTGTCACTATGGTTGACTGAGTTTAGATTGATGTTTGAAAATTGATCTACAAAACAATGAAGTTTGCAATACTACTGAAGTATAATTAAAACATTTGTGATATTACTCACTAACAAAAGCTACAAATACACATCACATGTCAAACTGGGATTGCTATATAAAAATATTTTTATGAGAGGATTTAAGAACTACTGATAATAATAAACTTTATAATTCACAGTTCAAAAGAACAAAATTCCAGTGGCAAGAAAAAAAGGAGGATGGGCTGCACTTGCCTTTTCTTTAACGTTTTCAAACGAGGAGGGAGACACAACAGAGAAACAGACGAGGAAGACATCTGTCTGAGGATAACTCAGAGGTCGTAACCTGTCGTAGTCTTCCTGACCTGGAAAAACCACATCCAAACATGTTTAATTACAAACCACAGGACTCACCTCCGTCTAAACGTGAGAACTACTTGCAACTATCACACTGGACATGAACAAATGTTAGTCTGTGGATGAAATATAAAGAAATACTTTTTATTCATCATTTCCTTTTAGTTCACTGTACAGTGCATGAGGACAGGGGCTTAAGGGATGTTTGAGTCCACAAAACACGGAGTATCAGGGGTAAACAGTGTTACAGCTAAATCCAAAATTTAAGTAAATGGTGAGTCCTTCAACGTAAAAAAAAAAAAAACATGCCTCCATGCTGCGTCTGTGGTGTCATCTAAGCGTACGTAAGCCCCAACACTCAAATGACTCGAAACTGTGTCATTCACACCACGTTTTTAGCATAAATGTCCTCTGATATCCTCCCCCAGACCCACATTCGGTTGTGGATGACCTTGTTTCATTTCGTTTGAAGAAGGACTCCCCATTTACTCCAATTGTATTGGATTTGGCTGCAACGCTGTTTACCACTGAAACTTCAATAGTGTTTTATAGACTCAGGCACTTCACCCAACCCTCCATCAGCATAGTGGTGAGTAGATAATGAGTGAATTTTCATTTTTAGGTGAACTATCCCTTCAATAGAATATAATTACATAAAAAGGAGAACCTGGATGAACCAATTTAAACAAGTGATGGTTGGAAAAATAAAAGACAAACCTGCTGTATCAAACAAGCCCAGAGTGTAGGGCTCGCCTCCAATCATTACAGTAACAGCATAGTTATCAAAGACCTATAACACACACACCAAAACCAAGGGTTAGTTATTATAAATGATCTATGCATTGTGTAAATACATTTTGTGAGAAACATGGTGTTGTTAGTGAAACACTGAATGAGTTTATATATTCTAAGCAAAACATCATTCCATATTGTTAAAATGGCTCTACAGCTGCATTTTCAGCTGCAGGTGGTCAAAACAGATTTTACTATGGTTTGATGCATGTTGAAGGCAACCAAAAAAAACAAGATACATTTATTGTTATGTATTCAGAAGAACTGTAGTGCTCAATAACAGCAAATGACCTGGAAGTCTGACTAGCTAAAAGGCTGGGCTAACCTTTCTAAACATCACAAATAGCCAGCAATTAGATTAATTAAGACTTAGTATTTGGTTCACAGCGTTCATCAAACCGACACCAGTCATGTTTCAAACTGACCATCCTGTTCTCTATTGTTCAAAACTAATGGCATTTAGTTATTCTAGCAAGTATATCAATCTTGGTAAATTGTGCACAGAGGTAGAATAGAAATCATATGTCAACTGTGAGCCAGCAGTGGCTAAAAGATGAACCACGTTTACATTTACATACCGTCAGTAGAAGTCCTGTTAATCAGTGTAACAGTCGTGCACTCACTTACCGTAGGTACATATTCAGAGGGAAACTTGTTTGTGGTGTAAGAGATGAGCAGGCAGGTTTTACCCACAGCACCGTCCCCAACGACAACACACTTAATGGTCTGCATAGCTGTGTTTTACAGTCTTCGCTACTCATTCAATATCTGGGAGAAAAAAACAAAAAGGAGACAAAACTTCATTAGTTAATGGCACCGAGAGCAGAGACAATCACCATAAGCAAATATTAAAACTGCTGCCCAGAGTTCAGCCTCTTTGGCCTTTAAGCTTTGTTTTACAACACTGAATCACAGTGGATGAAATTCTGCTTGGTTGGCATTTGCACATCGACTCACTATAAGCGGTTGATTACTATAACTGAATTATGTAGCATCTGTATGATAGTCCCAGAACTTGAGGGAAAGTAACAGCACTTATTAAGATAAAGGCTATAGTTTAAATGTTAATTTGTTTGAAATGACCGCCACATTGTCAACACTGATCAACACATAATGATCGATACGTTTGAGTGAGTAAAATCACCTTTGAAAGCGCACATTAAACGCTTTGAGTGGTCATCAATACCAGAAAAGCACTGTAAGAATTCAGACCATTTATAGAGAGACCATTCACTCTTTCTGCTACACAGGGCTTACTCTCACCTGGGCAAAGGGAGCGGCACATTGAGGATTATTATTGATTTTTCCAGTGCCTTCAATACCACCCAGCCTCTCCTACTGACACAAGCCATCAGAGATGAGATTGGACTCAAACCCGGTAACTTGGATTACTGACTACCTCACAGAGAGACCACAGTATGTCAAGCTGAAGGACTGCATCTCTGAGACTATGTCAGTAGCACTGGGACACTGCAGGGGACTGTGCTCTCTGTCTCCTGTTTTGTTTACCGCCTACACTTCTGAGTTGTAACACTGCTCAGAGTCATGTCATATGTAGCAGAACTTTTGAAATGTGCAGGTTGAACCATCTACAGCTGAACCTCCAAGATCAAAGAAATTGTTGTGGACTTCCAGAGGACCCGGCCACATCTGCATCCAGTCTCCATTGAGGGGGCTGATGTTGAGGTGTTCAGGACCTAATAATACCTCATACTGCAGCTGGATGATAGACTGGACTGGTAAGTGAACACAGGCACCCTGCACAGAAAGGGGCAGAGCTGGCTCTGTTTCCTGAGGAGGCTGGGGTCCTTTAACATCTGCAGGAAACTGCTGCTGATGTTTTACCAGTCAGCTGTTACGAGCATCCTCTTTTATGCTTTGGTGTGCTGGGGAGGCAGAGTAGAGAGATGCTACGCGGCTGGACAGACTGGTGAGGAGAACTGGCTCTTTGGTGGGCACTGGGCTGGAATCCCTCATAAGGGGCAGAAAGAAGGACCCTGAACAAAGTGCTGGATATTATGAACAATACAGACCAACCCCTGACAAGGCAGAGTACATTCAGTGGCAGACTGCTTTCTCAGTCCTGTTCAACAGACAGACTGACGAGGTCTTTCATCCTCCAGGCCATATGACAGTACAACTCCTCTCAGACTTATTCTTCACTCATTTTAATTCTTTTGATTGACTGTTTAGTGTCCAACTGGATGTCTAAATTTCCCTTGGGGTTAATAAAGTATCTGACTAGCCATCAGAGCCTTGTATATTTGAGCATCACTTAGATCTAAATTACAACTTTATTGTTCAACACTGACATTGTGTGAGCAGGACTTACGGAAGGAGAATAAAAAAAAAAGGAGACCAGAGAAGCTCAACGCCACATGCTGCTTTAATTTCTTGACAATTACAAAAAAACCTTGAACAAACCTAAATCTACAAATGCTTTTAACCCATATCTGTGTAAAAACTAATTGACACAGGGGTTCAGCTGTATTTATGGGGAGATAACGTCAACTACCCAATGAAAAAGTGCAACTCCCCAATCAAACAAACATGGCAGTGTCCAGAAATCCGCATGAGATTTTTTAATTCAAGGAATCCAGGGGCCAAACAGATCCACAGCTGGAGACAGACCATTTAGATAGAAAATAACATGTTATCAATGTACTTCAAAGAAAAGATGCTGCAAATTTTGTGACTGTACAAAATTAAATGTATTAGGAAATCAAAAGACAAGAGATGGGGGTTGTCTTTCCACAAAATTCCCAAGAAACAGACTAAAAATCTAATCAGCAATTGTCTGAAACAACAAAGATGGCAAGGAAAATGGCTCACATGATCCTCGTCTGACTGGGCTTTATGTTTACATATATTACGGCATTGTCAAAAATCTCACAACAACCAAATTACCTAGCATTTGTATACAATCATTTCAGGGGTGTCTTGTGACATTGTGTAAAACTGAATGCTGCAGGGGTGGAAGAAAACTGGATGTCTGTTCTGGTATCACTTCAAAAGAAACTTGAAAATAAGATTTAAGTGTTACACTTGTCTGATCACCAAAACGTATATACACTCCTCTGATAAAGATGTCACCATAAACAAGCACAGTCACCTGGGTTATAAATATCGCCTCACAACTGAACATTTGAACCCAAAACCATTCTGTAAAACACATTTTAGCAAGATGTGGTCAGACCACTAGCTCACACCGATGCTGAGACTGAGCCTAAAAATCTGAAGCCAAACAATCATTACATGACAATTTTTAGAATCCAAACAGTGTTGTGGTCATGACAGGTTACCTGTTAGACAACACGACAGTGTTCTGCACAAGTGTCCCTGTACGCCATGACAGTAAGCCAACAAGCATACAGCCAGAAACCGAACATTTAAGTTGCAGCATGGAATTTAGTTAAAGCTGAGAAGATTTGTCAAGTAATAAATAAGAGAAAATAAATAGTCGACAACCATGATAATATTTTTTGGAAATCTTTCAAGGCAAAATGTCTTACGTAATACATGTTTTCTGCTGCTTTTCTTATCTCGGCTACATCGACACTGCTACATTTTTATTTGAAAACACATCAACTCAGCATGGATTGCTCACCACCTTGCATCCATACTACTACAGAGTTTGAGAGCTGAAGAAGTTTGGAAACACTGCGTGTCCAATTTTAGCTTAATAACTCCTGGGTTGCGTTTTAGACTGGACAGGCAGGAAGAGAGATGACGGAAACAGTTACATACACACTCAAAACCGATTGCTGAGTGGTGCATTGGGTAATGACGTAGCCTTCGCTGATTTGTCTGGCTCCAATAACATGACTCCTTCTGGAAGAAAATATTAGGCATTAGCCTCTGCAAGCCAGCCTTACTGGCCCTGTCTTCTTTGTAAACGTCTGTTGTGCAGTTAAATTCTGCATTTTTTGCAGGGTTGCTGTTGGTTTCGTTTCATTATGGGTTGTATAAGTGCTACCCCCGTACCCCCTGTGAGTCATGTGTCCTAAAGTGTGAATTGTAGTGAAACTTCCTGGGGCTGGAAGCATGTATTCTGCATATAAAACAATAAAATAATTACCTGCATATTAATCCATAATTAAATATGATGAAATAATAGCTGGCTGCACCTGTCAGTTAATTAAATCATTATCTGTATTCACACTTGTGGTTATCCTGTTGTGTTGTGAAAACACCTTCATAAAACTTGACCTTGAGTCTGTCTGGAACATGGCAGTGCTGCCTGGTGCAGTGTGCATTTTGAGTCAACACATATTATGTGGAACACACCACAGTATTCCCCCATTTCTGCTCCACAAGTTCCAGTATGTCAGCGCGAAGCCACTGCAGAGCTCTGCACCAATGTGTGGGGGTGGGGGTGTCATTGAGAGAAGCAGGAGGGACAAAACTGCAGACGCCAAATCTTTCAGTGTGATCGTGGTTTGACAAATAAATAGTGCACAGGTGATGTGTGCTCACAAGAAATCGAACAAAGTAATTTCTTTAACATGAATTCCTTTGCAACCTAGGCTAGAATTATGTCTGATAGGTCTATATGTAATATTTTGCACTGCTGCCTATATCAGTCACAACTATTTATTAATCGTATTAACCACAAGACAAAAATCATATCAACTGCCAACTGTGACTGTTCACAGGTGAGAGTGGTGGGGGTTTACATCCCCACTGCTGTAAAAGTGACTTCTATTGGTTTGTAGATGAGCCACAATGAAAGGGGACCGAATAGCACGGACATCCCAGTTAACTTCTCTCTAGCAGGTGAAACTATCACCGACAAGGACTACATCCTGTGAGCAGGTGGTATGAAAGAAAATTGAAACTGCCTCTTCTGGCAATGTGTTACCCTACTCCACAAGGCATATAACTATCACTTATTAAATTGCCAGTATATTTTTGCAGCCAAGTGCATGACTGAAAGGATAATATGGATTAGCAAACACTTGGATGGTAATTTGGTAACACAGGAACATTAACCTTACAGAAAGCTGCTAAATAACTTGATGTGATTTCAGATCAGACAAATCCTTAAATCATCAGGTTGAGAAGAAAAACAATTTGATGAAAGAAAATACAAGAACAAGTACTTTTGAAAAGAAAATGAACATGTCTTGATAAAATTATGTTAGACAGGTCTCATTTCCTTGGGCAGATTGTTCCAAAGCTTCAGGGTCATGACAGCAAACACTTGCTCCCTTTTATTTCTCAGCTGAGGATCTAGAGAGATAGAGATAGAAGACCTCTGCCAAAGAATCTAAAAATGCCTGTACATACTGGTTTAAAAGTCTGGCAGCTGAATTCTGTACAGTTCAGTGTCAACCATTTTTTGGTTCAGGAAAGTAAAACTGCATTTGCAATGCAGACGTTTCAAAAAGAATGTTTGTAGAATATCAAAGATAATGGACACACAAGTGCACAAGCTTTGTATTGTTGTGTTCAATGATAATATTACTAAAATTTTTAAAAGACAATTTTATATGGTGAGGACTATAAAAGCAACAGAATAATCAATAACTTAATTGAAATGAGTTGATCTGTTATCTTTGGAATACTGTGCTCAATTCAGAGTTTTCCCAACATACTGAGATATGAAGTGAATACATAGTCATTTTAATATCTCAAGTTTAGAGAAAGAGATTCAAGCTAAAAACCTTTAATAAACAACATCATGGATAACTACGCCGTAGGCACCATTTCAACATCTTTACCACTGTGGACTGTGAGGCAACCGTATCACTGCACAGTGATCCACGTTTCATTCATTCAACAGTGTAAAAACTAATTTCTTTCTGCTATATGACAGAAGAAAATCTAAAAACTTATTTTGGGTGCAACTGTGAAATAATTGACAAACTCAAAGCAAAGCACCTCAGTGTGCAGGTGGTCAACAGAGGGAGGCTGCAGCAGCATTAATGCTGCCAGACTTAATCCACGCAGCCAGCACTGAGAGGGTGGGTCATCTTAAACACTGGTGAAGGCTGCCAACGTCGAGCTTGATGTGGCTTTTTATCCCAACATGAAATGAACACTGTGTTTAACATCTAGCAAAATCATTTACAACAAAACTCAATAGATGGGAGCACTGTGCATCTCTGTAGAGCTGAATACTTGTACCAGCCAGAGTCCCACATTAGTGCATCCTAACAGCGAACATCCTGCGATTACACCGGATTTAACATTTCCTTAACAATTGGTCGAAGCTTCCCCCTCATTACTCTGAGACAGATCATCTCCCAGAAAACCAGCGACACGCAGATCGCAAATCACAGAACCCGCAAGTATGTTCGTCTGACTTCCACCCAAATAATAAGAGTTGTCCGAAAATGGAACGTCACATTAGCGTGGTCAGTTTACGACTAATGAAAACTTTGAGTACAGACACTGTGACAAACTTCTGACCATCATCATCCTGCACGTTTGACCGACGCTTACCCACTGCAACACTTAGGACCACCACGCAGAGATGACCAGTAACAGCCATCGTTAGCTTGGATGCATTAGCCTGAGCTGCTGTATTTCGGCCATATATCCCCGGCCTCAATCTGGCCTCATTTCCTGCCGGTTGTCTAAACCCGCGTTAAACTTACCAGCTTCCTCTCTTGAAACACAGTCAATGATATTTGAACCAAACATCAAACTGTACAAACACAATTCCCCAGACTCGGTTTCGATTAGGAGAACATTTAATGACCTGGCGTTTGATACTCCTGAGCTCGCTAAGCAGCTAACAGCTAACTAATAACTACCTGCTTCTTTAACCATTGACTGACTTTACTTGAGGACATATTAGAGGATAAATAACTGACCTATATAATAATTGTAATTTACAGGTTGTTGCAACTCGCTGAGATTGATTTGCTAGCCACCACTATCTGCCTGCTTTGCTAACTATCCTCCCCAGTCGGCTTGCTAGCTAGCTAGCTGAGCTAACCTTAGCGGATGCTGTGGCCGAATGATATTTATATAATCTGTCAATTCCAACTACTGTCCCACAGACGTACAACTCAGATGACGCTGACAGGATTCAAAAGAAAAAGCGACAACAATACCACCTCAATGAAAGAGAAGTGGACATTAGCTTCTTACCGTCTCCTCTGTTTGTGTCTGTACGCCGGGCGTTGGCAGCTCCGTGCTAGGGGCTTCCCAGTCAACAGCACAGGGACACGTTGCGTGTTGAACTCCTACGTAATTACGTTAATAATTTTACTACGACCAGGCCGCTTCCGTCTCATTAGGCCCATAAATAACTCAGTAGTTCTGTAGAGTTCCAGTCCTGAAGACTGTACGACAGCTTAAAAGTCAAATGATTGTAACATCTGAAAAGGTGACCTTTAACCCAAGCTATAGTGCTGTATGTACAGTATTTAATGTCAACAATCACGTTCAGCTCACTTTGTACAAGTTTCAGACAAGAAATTTCCCTACAAGGAATTTCCCTACATCTATTTTGAATCAATACTAAATGATGTATTTGCTTGGTGAATGCAATACACACCACAGGACAGCCTGTACAGATGATTGCACAACATGATTGAATTCTGCTCCATTTGATTAAACCTGCTTTCATCTTTTTAACCTTTTAAACATGCATCCTACTCCACCAAAACTACAGAGACTTGTAACTGTCCACCAACAGAACATATGACAAAACCAAACAGGTGGCAAATCCAAAATATGAATTCTAAATCAAGTAAATGTTATGTGATTTGGAGCAGGGAGTGAGTTTGACCTACATAAGAGCATTGTAATACTGTTGTCTGCCATTAGATGACAGTGTAGTACAACTAACTAAATACCCAACAACGCTGTTGTGAGGGTTTGAAAGATGTCCAGCGGAGTAAGTTTAGATACAAACAACAAGTAGTAAGAAAAACAAACTTTATTCTCAAAATGGATCCATGAAGTTACATTAACAGAAATGCACTCAATCTTTTACAGAAAAAAAAAATTAGGAAAAACATTTCTTCCGGAAAAAGTTAGGATTGTAGGTGATTGCATTATCCTAGGTGGACACACTCTGCAGCAGGGTAATGTTGTCTCCTTTCAACATGATCCTCCCTGGGAGACACAGACAGAGGAACAAGGGAGGAGGATCAAAGTAGGATGACGATGGATGGAAAGAAAAATTGGGAGGCAAGTTATTCCTTGTGTTAGTATGAAATGAGACACAATTTATCTACAGTTTTAATAAAATTCACAGTCAACCAAAGAAGTCAGCATGATAAGCAAAACTGTTTTTGTGGGTTTACAGGAGGAATCTGTCATTCTCTAATGAGGCCTATATGTCAATTTAACATGTCAGTCCTTTTGTCAAGGCTGAGAAAATTGTTAACTGACCCTTATGCCAGGCTCAGACAACGCAACTTTAAAAGTTGATGGATGGCTGTGCACTTTAAACAGCATGCTATCTTTTGATGGCTAGTCTTGTTGTCACCTACTACACAACCTACTGGCGACAGGAAGTTACACACTACACTACTATCTTCAGGAGAAACACCAGAATGGTCCCAAAACCAAGCTTCCAAAAACACAAAAGAGACACCTGACTGATCCTCCAGCTTTTCTGTGTCATCCTGTTCAGACAATCACACGACAGGCTGAAGGAGAGGTCAGGTGAAACAAAATTGTCAAAACTTATTTTCATAATTTAGGGGAAATAACTTTATATCTAATAAACAGACTCGCATTTTGATTTTGTGTGGCGTATAGTGGAACTTAGCTTAGTACAAAATCAATTTCTACAGTACTGCATTTGCATAAAAGCAACATGTAAAAGGCAGGGGCCACATTACTCCTTCATGTACCTTCACTAGTGTCACCCCATCGTGCACTCTGATTGGCTGCAGTTCGTCTAAATATTAACCCAGCTCAAAAAGCAGTCGAACTCAGCAAAATGTCAGCTGTAGTGAGAACTAAGCTTTAGGCAACAACATTTTAATGTATAAAGGAATAGATGTGCCTCTGTTAAAAAAGAAAACACCAATACTTTAAAATAATATTTCAAATAACATGGGGTTCAATGTTACAATGGAACATCAAGTTTCACACGTTACAGACACCTACAGCTGCTGTGAACAGACTAAAACGCACCAATAGGCCGACAGTTCCCCCATAGTTTCATAATGATTACATTTTTTTACACTTCTCAAAATCACACAATAGATCTCTACCTTGAAGTGTTGTACTGTTGTTCCATTGTATAGCTGTGTGCAGCTAGCTTGTCTTAGGAATTATTGTGTAAAAAGGGGGGACTTGAAAAAAAGGGTGTACTCTTACCCAGTGGCTTTCTGTTCTTAGTCTTCATGTGGACTTCCTCAGAATCATCTAGAACCAGGTTCATGTACTCGTCAAAACCCTACGATTGAAAAGGAATAGTGAGGAAAAACCATTAACGTCAATGGGACCCTTGCAAGAACATTTTAACCTAATCCCTTCAATACTACATATATTTCTGAGACTAACTAGTGTAAACAACTTTAAATAGTTGAGCCTCTAATGACTGCTCTAATATACAACCATACACTAAAATATATGTCCTTCATTGGGTTGTGTTAAATCAAGTGGCCTTGAAATTAAGCCGGGACAATTTTCTGTGCACAGTCATGTTTTCCACAGCATTTATTATAATGTATATAACATTCATTTGTACGTGTTCAGTCTCTTCAGGAAAATTGAAATTTAAGAAAAGATGAGTTAGTTGTTGATTTGAAAGCAGACGCCTCAATGATCATTGTTTATATCAGAAGCAAGCCCTTCCACAAGTGGCTTTCCTTATTAGCCAGTATTTCATTTAGCATCTCATTATTGGCAGGTTTCGTATCATTTACCAAATGTACACCCATTGTCAGATTATAACCATCTCACACTGGACAAGGGCTCACAATCTTGTCAATTAGCTACATGTGAATGAAATTTAAATTCAAGTTCAATGCAACTACAACAAAAAAACCAGCAAACAGACCACTTACAATAATACAGCCCTCTATCCTCATGTTCACCTGTTCATACAACCAGACCTGGATCCGTGAGCGCTGAGAATTGGAAGATAAAAGTATAAGAATACAATTTTAAAATGAAAACACACAAATCATAATTGATTGTAAAATAATGTTGGACTTAATACTTACATTTTGTAGATACCTGAAAATAAGGTTCTGGTGCATGAAGTTAAGGAAATTCAATGTTTATATTCAGACAAATACAAACAATATTTTTGCATTCATTGGTTCTGCTAATTTTGCACCCCTGACCAGAGCTTTCAGGAACACAGTGTGATGAGCAGTACTGACTACACTTTCAAACTCAATCTTATTTTCATTGCTAATAATAAAGGGGTACAATTACCTCATTAAAGTTTAGGTTACAACCGTTGTATCTTAAAACTTTGTTCTGAAGAAAGCTAAATGAAGCATGCTGCAGAAAAGTGCGCACGTTTCCGCAAAGGACAATACAGATTAGTTGCTTTGGATCGTTTGTAGTGAAACTAAGGTAGGTTGGCATCATCCTGCAGTTAAGTTTCTGAACTGATCAGGTAGTTGTTTGGTCTGTAAAATGTCGGCCAATAGTTCTTATTCCATTAATAATTAGAGAGACAGTGTATTCAAGCATTAGATGACCATTTATGTTTAGCTCAATGATGAATCGTTCCATTTACAGGTACATTTTCTAGCTTATTACGTATTTTATTGTTTCGGCTCTACCATATGTCCTGTTAGCTAACCAAGTAATGTATGAGCCGAAAGTAATTACAGTCTGTACTCACATATAAGCTGAGAGAATGATCATGCAATAGATTTCACAATATAAACAGGAGAACTGTTGTAGCCAGTTCGGCTGTGCTAAGGCTAGAGCTCCACGCTGGTCCTGTTAATGACCACAAAGAAACACAGCAGTTAGTAAAGATATCCCAGCTCACAACACTTTCTGCTTCTCGAACCGAGTATTAGTTTCACAACATTTGAGTTGAAGTGGCTTAAATCCTTCGCCTTGCTTGGAAATGATTGGCTAGCTAGCTAACAAGAAAAGGCTAACCTAGCTGCTACATTTTCCCAGTTCAGGCGCGGATGTCGCTCGACGCCATGAAAAGGATACGATGGGCTGCACCATCACCTTCTGGACCTTCTGTCCCTGTCCTCTGTACGCCATGTCGCCACAAAAATACCAGCGGAGGGAAGAAAAAGAAACAATTAGCACCGTTTTCAGAAAAACGTACTTCAACGAAACACTCACGTTGAGAATTCGCTTCAATGGCGCGTTTCCTTCCGCGTGTAATGCCTGTGCCACTAAAAAGTATCATGACGTCAATAGAGCGCCTCCACAGGTAGGAGGTCTATACCGCACCTACACAGTGCTCCAGCACGTCCAGTACATTTAATACACCAAGATACTATAAGAATACAATAATACATCAACATTAATGGGCTGTTAATAACAAAACTATAAACTAAACAAGTCTTTCTGTGAGTCAGTGTGGGAGTACAACATCGGTCAACCATAAAAACAGACTTCATTCGTTTTTTCACATGACCTACAGTTGCTGTCTGTACATCCTATCTGCACAGTGTAAACTGTCTGAAGTCCGAATCCAGGGGTGGTCAGATACACACACAGATGTTGGAGATGATAGTTTGGATCATTGCCCTGTTGAAAAAATGGTTCCCCCTTTTTTACTTTTAATTTCTTAACTGCATGCTGGACACTTTCATCCTGACTTTGCTGATGTGTGGTGGAGTCTTTTCTTCCATTTATATGTGTTTTTCTTCATCAAGTGCTCTTCTTCTTTTCTCCCACATTCCACAATTACTCATTAGTAATACACCACAAGATGTAGAATTTATTCCCAGGCACAAAATATTTTATATAACT